CTACTCGTTACGAAAGCATGGGCAAGCCGCATTGCATCCCTGCTTCGTAATCCGCCCCGCTTGTTGGAGACCCGGCGGACCATACGGCCCACCTGGTCTCCCACCGTGCGAAGTTTGGCTATTGTGGTATCGGCCTTGCGTTGGTGGTGTATGAAGAGGCCAAGGACGCGGATCTCCTTGGCCTCACGGATCGGTCCCGAGGGAAGACTGATATGGAGCTGAGTTGTGTCCTGAGGGGAGGGACGTACGTGCACAAATTCTGACTTAGCCGGGGCACACTGGAGTCCGCAGTAGGTTGCGTAGTCGTCGACTACAGTCGCTGCTGCTTGCAGGCATGACTCCATGTGACCCAGGTTACCTTGCGTGGCCCAGATCGTGATATCATCCGCGTAAAGAGCGTGATGTATCCCTGGTAAAGAAGCCAATTTGGGGGGAAGATGAAGCATGGCTATATTAAATAGGAGGGGAGAGAGGACCGCGCCTTGAGGAGTTCCCCTCGAGCCGATGACGTAAGGCCCATGTTCCTCATCATGTATGCGTATGTAGGCTCGACGGTCTGTAAGAAACTGTCTAACATAATTGAATGTTTTATAACCACAGTTGGTCTGACTGAGGTGGTCAAGGATTACCTCATGCTTCACGTTGTCGAATGCTCCTTTAAGATCCAAGGCCAGGACTACCTTGTCATTGTGGGGGCATTCAACAGGATCTAATATGTCATGGTGGAGCTGTAGAAGTATATCCTGGGCTGACTTCTGAGGGCGGAATCCAAACATGGTGTCCGCAAAAGTGTGCTGTGTTTCTAGAAACTCGGAGAGTCTGTCGCGCACCATCGTTTTCATCAGCTTGCCGACACAAGACGTGAGGGAGATGGGGCGAAGGTTTTCCACGTCAATAGGTTTACCTGCCTTCGGGATGAAGGTCACGAGAGCTGATTTCCATTCAAGAGGGAGAGAAGTTTCTCCGTCCCAAATGCTATTGATGTATTTGAGGAGCGTGGCGTAGGCTGCGTCGGGAAGATTGGCCAACAGTTTGACCGTAACCTGGTCACGCCCTGGTGCAGTGCCACGCTTCATCTTGCGTAAGGCCGCCTGGAGGTCGTGGAGCTGGAACGGGGTGTCCAACTGCGTGTTCTTTTTGCCTGCGTAGGAGTATGCGGCCGTCCGGGGGTCCTTGGTGGTGCACAGGTATCGGTCCCTGAGCGTGTTTGCCAGCTGTGTTGTCGTCTGCTTGGAAGAAAGAGTGCGATTGGAAACTGGACGTAAAACCTATGAGCCTTTTTTCTAAATTGCGTTCCATGTGTGGTCGGTGTTTCAGCTGGCTAATATTGTTTATACGATAACGCTGAAGATTGCGTACGGTAACACCACTCCCGTCGCTGTCTACGGAGGTAGTCGTTTTTTGCGCTTTGCCTGTGAAACAGACGCGTTCATTTATATTACACTGTTGACTGTGAAAAAAAAAATGGCAGCATATCCACGCGGTGAATAATGGAGAGTGGGGCAAAGCATCCGTCCGTCCATGCGTCCGTCTGTGTGACCGTCCAAGCGTTCATCCACCCGTCCGTGCGTGCGTCTGTTTGTGCGTCCGCACGTCCATCCATGCATCCGTCCCTGCGTTCGTCCATGCGTCTATCCGTCCGTGCAGCCATCCGTGCGCCTGTCCAGGCATCTGTCTAAGTGTCCGTTCGTCCATCTAGTCAACACTCCAAGTACCACCATCTCGCATTATGGTATATACTAGTTCGTTGTATTCATTGCACTGCGGCCCAACGCTCGCTAAACCTTTCTGAAACCAAGGAGGTTACGCCCAACGAGTATAACCTAGCAACCCTTTCTTTTCAGATAGCGCTCATTGTACATGCCAATGGCTGCTAATTGGGAATGAGAGACAGGAGAATTTGGTTTTCAGTTAACGCGCACGCTGCGAATTTTTTAATGTTCAACAACACACAAGAAAAATCTCCCACCGGCACCACCTTGCAGGTCAAAGCGTAAGACTGGTTGCGCACTACGGCGATGGACGAACGGGTGCCGCTTTAAGGAGCTTCGCCCCTTAAAAGAACAGCGTTCTAGGCCGAGTAAAGACGGCGTTCCACCAACTTCAATTTATGAACGTCAGACGCCCGCTCATGACCGATCGGTGTCCAGATATATGCTTTTCGTCGCTGCCTTCGCGTCCCTTAAAAAAAAATGGCAGCATTTCCACGGAGTGAATGATGGATAGTCGGGCGAAGCATCCGTCCGTCCATTCGTTCTTGCTTCCGCCCGTCCATGCGTGCGTCTGTTCGTGCGTCCGCACATCCATCTGAGCCTCCGTCCCTGCGTTCATCGTTGAGCTCAGCAACGTGACACTTCGCGCGCCAAGCTTCCGCAATACTGATCGTTAGCCTAGTTGGTACTTGCTTACTGACATGCTTTGGCCGCAAATAACACACACAAAGTAACGAAACACTCAACGCCCCTTGTGCTTGTCGTTGAGTGTTCCTTTACTTCGTGTGTGTGTTATTTGCGGCCAAAGCTTGTCAGTAAGCTTCCGCAGCCGATGATAACGAGTTTCCTGGTGAGACGAACTAATGCCGTTCTGAATGAGATCATTGCCAGCCAGACATGGACACTTGCCCCCTGCTGAATACTACGCAGATTCCTTCTGGAGCGGCGTAAATCGAACATTGCTGGGCACTGCCAAGCCACCGCCGCCTAGCCCCAGCGGAATCCACCTGATGTACGCGTTCTACAAAAGTTGCTACCACTTCATGACGACGAGGAATCCGGTGCCAGACCGGGTGCGTTCGGTGTTCGAGAAGACCAACGCGGCCCGCTGGGTTACGGGAGCGAGCTACGCGGAACTCGTCAAGCAGATGATTCACCTTGCACTGAACCTCGGCATCATCACCGTCTTCGAGCTTAAGTTCACCAAGGTAAGCCTGCGTCAGTGAAATTGCTTTGCGACTTTTGGGCCACTAGGCCTGCTTTATTTCTTGAAATAGTTCGAAGGACCACAAGATAACATTGTCTCTAACACCAATAATATAAAAAAATCACCACAGAAATTACATGATGAACGCAGCTATTCCCCGCTATGATATAAAAGCACATAATTCCCAATTGCGAGTTCCATCTCTGACCAGAAATTAGGTTAATAGGGCATTGAATCATATCTTCAAGCAACCGTCGTAGCACCAATGAACCGGCATATGAAGAACGCGGACGATGTTTTACTCTAACAACTTGTGGCACCTTCGAACCTAACGCGCCCTCCCTGGAAGCGTACCACAGAGTCGGCTTGAATAAACTTTCATTCGGTCGTCAAAACACAGATCACTGTGTCGCGGGCCGCTCCCACGTGGGGATCGAGATGCCGAGCCCACAGTGTCGGACTTATGTCAATACATTGGTCCAAATGTGGCGAGAAACTGATTGCGCAGAGCTTCTGTCAAGGCCAGAAAACAACTGCCTCAAATTGACGTTAGGCGTGTATATGTAGAATGCTACTTGAGGTAGGTCTCCACCTTAAAAAGAAATATTTGCAAGAACAAAGTTTTCAGACACGTGAGTAGTGACGACGGTAGAACAAGGGAGAAACAGCAAAAATGTGGAGGAGTCCGGGCATAGCAAATGCCAAACAAGAAGCCACATCTCATAGCTGACAGAGCTCTAAATTGATCGACAGGTTGGCGACTCCGACCTCTTGCACATTAGCAAGGGAAGCTCCCTGCGCTACAAAGCGACGCCAGTGACCAACGAGCGAATCTACCACGACTACATCAAGGAAGTGCTCCAAGTAGGTTTATACTGCACCCATCACTTGCACGGGCATTTTCGATGCTACTCTGGTGCAAGGTGTACTATGGTGACACCCAGCTGGGGAATGTCTTCGTTGAGCTACAGTACTTGCGGGTTTTGTCGCAGCTCATGAGGGGGTCGTACGCCTCCCAACTGCGGAGTAATTTTAAAAAGCTCATTTCGCAAAAATTCGGCCATCGGTTACGGCATGGTTGATTGTGAGCGAGAAATCATCCTGTGCGTGACCGAAAAATCGAGGAAGATTCAAAGGAAATTAAGAAATCTCGCTTCAAGTTGGGATCTAACCCGGGTCGATTTGTGTGACAAGCGGGTGTCCTACCACACAGCCATGCATCAGCTTGTAAATACAGTGCCAACAAAATCATCTACATGGAACTTGCAGTGGAAGTAACACTCATACTTTACAGACACGCGCGTCATGTATACAGGCTCCAAAAAACTGAAATATTGCCGTAATAATGCGTGGTAGAAACGTACAATGCCATCAAGCGTCGGAACTTGGAATTATCTGAATGACTTGATAGGTTCAAGCCAGTCACCCACTGCGAAAAGCACACACGCTACAGCTCCCTTGAAGCTACGTAGTGCGTGCAAGTTCTAAAAGGTTTCATAGACTACGTGTACGCACTAGGAACAGAATATCGCTATCTTAAAGGCGAAGCTTAATAGCCTTCTACGTTTTCACCCCATGTTGTCTTTCTGCATACTATCTTGGGGCAAGAACATGTGACGGCTCACACGCACATCTTCCATACCGTTTTGTGTGGCATGGCCTCATAAGGCGGCAAAAAAAAGTGATACTCACTAAGACTCGCTCGAGAAATAGCTTGCGCTTTGGACTCACTCTGGCTCACCTAACTTTTCTTGGCAATGAGAAAATTTTCTTGAACCGGACTTACCAGGACTCAGGAAAATACTATTTCAGACTAACTGATATTCGCGGCTTCAGCTGAGCGAGTGAGTCGACGCCTGAGCGCGTTCGCCGATATTTGTTTCGTTATGTGCCAGTTCGTACGAGCAAGCGTAAACGATGGCTGCTGGTATTGATACACTGCTGTTGGCACTTTGTTTATCCACAGCATTAGGTTCATTGCTCGTAACACAGTCATCTTACGCTTAGCTCTTACAAGAGCTGTCGGAAATAACTAAGTCCGCTTTTTCTTCGTGGTCAGCCTAGCTCCTTGCGCGCTATAAATGTCCTGGCATAACAACTCCGCCGTCTTTACTGAATTTGACTTTCCCCGCTTGGACACGAGTGCGAGAGCTACGGTGCTTCGCGCGATTCAGGTGATTGGCTACAAGTCACACCTGGAAGGCAGCTTCAGCTACGTGGACACCATTGACCGCAGCGTGGAGGCCAACTTCGCGAAGATATCTCGCACCAAGTCGGCGAATTTCACCGAGCTAGGCACGTTGGACAGCAGGGCGTCTGCGCAAGTGTGGCTAGAACGCATCAACCGCGACGTGGCTCAACGTCACTGGCAAAAGGAGGACTCCGAGATCCTCGCGACAGGCTTAGAACAGATCAGGTAAGCAGCACACGGCTCTTGACAAAGGCGTTGTACCTGCTTGACTTTCAAAGTCGGCAATTTGGTGCATATGCAGTGCAGACATAACTAATTAGCGCAAGAAAAAAAACAACGCTTAATGTGAGGAAAACAGACCGGGCCGAGCTATCAACTTCAACTGAGCTTATGCTCGCAGAAAAAAAAATGGCAACATATCCACGGGGGAGAGTGGGGCGAAGCATCCGTCCGTCCATTCGTTCTTGCTTCTGTCCGTACGTGCGTCTGTCTGTGTGACCGTCCGTGCGTCCATCCACCCGTACGTACGTGCGTCTGTTCGTGCGTCCGCACGTCCATCCATGCGTCCGTCCCTGCGTCTGTCCATGCGTCCATCCGTCCGTGCAGCCATCCATGCGTCCGTCCATGCATCTGTCTGTGTGTCCATTCGTCCAGCTAGTCAATACTCGAAGTACCACCATCTCGCATCTTTTCATCATATTTGCGTCCGTCTGTGTTACCGTCCGAGCATCCATTCACCCGTCCATGCGAGTGTCTGTTCGTGCGTCCACACGTCCATCCGTGCGTCCATCCCTGCGTTCGTCCATGCATCCACCCCTACGTCCGTCCATGCGTCCATTCGTACGTGCAGCCATCCGTGCGTCCGTCCATGCATCTGTCTGTGTGCCCATTCGTCCATCTAGTCACTACTCCAAGTACCACCATCTCGTATCTTTTCATCATATATTCCGCATATAGAAGCACCGCCATCCAGCGGACATTACAAGGACTAAACGAGAGGTGGCACACGCACACTTTTTTACGGCTTGCGCTTCGTGTCTACTTCCCACCTTTAACCATCTTGAGTTCATGGTATACACTAGTTTACTGTATTCATGGCACTGCGGCCCAACGCTCGCTAAACCTTTCCAAAACCAAGGAGGTTACGCCCAGCGAGTATAACGTAGCAACCCTTTTTTGTCAGATAGTGCTCAATGTACATGCCAATGGCTGCTAATGGGTAATGAGAGACAGGAGAATTCGGCTTTTAGTTAACGCGCACGCTGCGAATTTTTCATTGTTCAACAACGCACAGGAGAAACCTCCCACCGGCACCACCTTGCAAGTCAAAGCGTAAGACATGTTACGTACTACGACGAGAGACGAACGAATGCCTTAAGGAGCTTCGCCCCTATTACACCATCTCCCACTAAATTAGACCATGAGGCGATGCGAAGCAGCGCAGGGGAGGGGGGTGGCTCACATCAGCGACTATCGCCGGTCGCGCGAGCATTTGCGACTGGCGACCAAAAAGCGCTTGATCACACCGGCAGAAGCTGCATGCGGACGACCGGAAGTCGCGAACCCGGAGAGTCACGTCCGGATTTCCTTATCAGCGAGAAATGTGGAGACCGGCGGCGATCAGCTGATCAGGTGACCGCTGCCAGCCGAGTGAGCGAAGCCAACTGAGCGCACCGCGTTTGTTGTTTTCGCCAGGCGCTCTCACGCACCGTCCCCAGCAGCAGCGTCATGGAATTCGATTCGAGTGAAGAAGATAAATTCTTTCATTAGGGAAATGGAGTCACTGAAAGGAGAGTGGGGGAGGGGTGATAGGCACACACTAAATCAGCTCTCGCTAAGCAATGGAGTGAAGAGATTGTCATGGCGCTGATGTGCTATGCCATAGCGTCGGCGCTGGCATCGCAGAAGCCTCTAAACCGAAAATCAACGGCATATCCACAAAGTGAATGATGCTAGAGGGGCTTGCTTGGAGGTGCACCAAGCGTTTCTTGGCGAGAACATTTGAGTAGGAGGGTTTGTTAACGAGCCGGCGCATGTGTCGGTCGGCACGTTTACCACCTGCCCCTTTATCCTACTGGCCGCTGTCGTGAGTCAAATGCCTACCGCTCATAAATGGCAGGCGTGGAGCTACCAGGCGTTCTTCAACTGGGTTAGAGCAAGCAGATGAGGGGGGCTTGCGAGGATATCGGTATCCCTGCGTAACACTCATCGTAGGAACTCGTCACGAGATGCTGTGCTTACGAAGCGACGAGAACGAGGTGGACGTAGCCGCGAGGAGCCGAGTGCGCGGGCCATCAAAAACCAACCCTTGTAGGAGGCCTCCATGTGCGCGCTGCCCCGCCTCCTCCGGCGCGCACATGAAGGCTCTCTTAAAGCCTCTATATTTTGAAAGTAGCGACGCTCTCGGACTCGCACTTCCAAACTTCTTGTTCTCAGATTAAACCTATATACATTCCAGATAGTGTCAACCTAAAAATCTGAAAAAATGGGTCTTCATTCAGAAGAAAAAAAAAATCATTTCAAAATCTCTCGGCACGTGACAAGGACAACATTTCCTTGTTGTTGTGAGATAAAAATAGCGCATTTTTGTGGGGTCACATTGATGCCAATACCACGTTGAAAAGGCGTGCCGAATATCAAGGGGACACTGTCTAGATTTTGAGAACAGGTGCATTTAATTTTGTGCACCAATCCGACATTTGGTACTCCACCAGAAGAAAGAGATCCTACAATGTCAAAATTAAACAGATTGAAGGCCAGGCGCTTTCTTATTAAGCATTCAAAATTTCACAACACAATATGACGAAGTTTTTAAAACAACTACAAAGATAATACTCACACATACCATGAGCATGCAAATGCTACTGTTCAGTTTAGGCTCTATGCGATGTGCGTTAACATTACGGTGATGGCATTGTTCATGTCAGTTCTAACGCTCCGATAACAGTTTAAGACCAGCCTCTGGTCTTGAAAAAAAAATGACAGCATATCCAATGGGTGAATGATTGAGTGGGGCGAAGCATCCATCCATCCGTTCGTTCTTGCTTTCGTCCGTCCGTCCATCAAGTCCGTCCGTGTGACCGTCCATGCATCCATCCGCCCGTCCGTACGCGCGTGCGTCTGTTCGTGCTACCGCACGTCCATCCATGCACCCGTCGCTGCGTTCGTCCATGCATCCACCCCAGCGTCCGTCCATGCAGTGATCCATGCATCCGTCCATACATCTGTCTGTGGGTCCATTCGTCCATCTAGTCAATACTCCCCACCATCAATACAGTCAATACAAGGACCACCATCTTGCATCTTTTCATCATATTTGAGTCTGTCTGTGTGACCGTCCATGCGTCCATCCACCCATCTGTGCGTGCGTCTGTTCTTGCGTCCGCACGTCCATCCATGCGTCCGTCCCTGCGTTTGTCCATGCATCCATCCATCCGTGCAGCCATCCGTCCGTGCAGCCATCCGTCCGTGCAGCCATCCGTGCATCCGTCCATGCATCTGTCTGTGTGTCCGTTCGTCCATCTAGTCAACACTCCAAGTACCACCATCTCGCATCTTTTCATCATATATTCCGCATATAGAAGCACCGCCATCCAGCAGACATTCCAAGGACTAAACGAGAGGGGGCACACGCACACTTTCTTACGGCTTGCGCTTCTTAATTGTCTACTTCCCACCTTTAACCACCTCGAGTTCATTGTATATACTAGTTCACTGTATTCACGGCCCAGCGAGTATAACCTAGCAACCCTTTCTTGTCAGACAGTGCTCAATGTACATGCCAATGGCTGCTAATAGGGAATGAAAGACAGGAAAATCCGGCTTTCAGTTGACGCGCACGCTGCGAATTTTTCATTGTTCAACAACACACAGGAGAAATCTCCCACAGGTACCACCACGCAGGTCAAAGCGTAAGACTGGTTACGCACAACGACTACGACGTGGGATGAACGGGTGCCGCTTTAAGGAGCTTCGCTCCTAAAAAAAGCGAACCACATTCTCTTTTTTTTTTCTTCAAGGTCAGACCGAGACCATTGAAAGAAGTGAAATCTTTTTGAAGTGACACCTCGATGGATATGTTCTTCAGGCATTAAAGGTTGATTGATTGATATGTGGGGTTTAACATCCCAAAACCACCATATGATTATGAGAGACGCCGTGGTGGAGGGCTCCGGAAATCTCGATCACCTGGGGTTCTTTAACGTGTACTCAATTCTGAGCACACGGGTCTACAACATTCCCGCCTCCATCGGAAATGCAGCCGCCGCAGCCGGGATTCGAACCCGGAACCTGCGGTTCTCCAGCCGAGTACCTTAGCCACTAGACCACCGCGGCGGGGCAGGCAATCAAAGGTTCTCCCTCAGCTTTGTCCCTGGTACAGTTGTGGTGCGATGTACCTTGGGTGCCTCCTTTCCTACGCCCCCAGTGCGCTGAATTTCGCAAATCATCAAAATTCGATTGCGAATATCCCAAATTATGTGAAAATTTTGTGAAATTTAAACGCACCACAAATTTTGACGGCCTACAATTTTTCTCTTATGAAAAACCCCCCTCAAATCAGTAATCATAAACCTTATTATTTACGTTTCGTTACTTGATCTCATGGTAACTTGCTGCGGCGAATATTGCCGTGTAGACTTAATTTGCGAAGACTACAGAAGTCTGGCTGCCATGGCATTTTTTTTTAATGCTGCCTATTTTCTATGAAAAAAAAACATCTGAAAAACTCGCAGGGTACGTATCTTGCATGAACTGATGTGCCAATGTATCCATCCCACCGTATAAATAATAATAATAATAATAATAATAATAATAATAATAATAATAATAATAATAATAATAATAATAATAAATGTTGATTACAGTGTTCACAAAAAGGCTTATCCACTTGACTACGTTCTCACACTTCTATATACAGAATGCTGAAGTGGTGGCGGCAACAGAATAGAAAATCTGTCGAAGTACACATTGTCGGCAGAACTCGGAATTGCACGACTTTCCAAAACACTGCACGCTGCGTTGTATCGAAAAAAAGTGACGCACTGCGTTGTATCGAAAAAAAGTGACGCATTGCAGTAAAGATATATAATAAGGCGAGATCACCAGTCTAAATGCATTATCTATGAGTACACAAACGGAAACTTCACGCTCACCACCGGTGGGGTTCTCGTGTATTGCGTTAATTTGGAATACGTGGTTTGAAGAAGCTTTAAACGTGAGTATATATAGGGGGATACTCGCTGCGTTTCTGCTTCACAGCGGTCACACGCCTCACGCAGGACCGTGATGGGCATCGTGATGGGCGGCGGCCTGCGCAACGCGACCGCCTACATCACCGTACAAGTGGTGATGGAGGTTCTGCGCTACGACTTCTTCCGGCGCTACGAGCAGCAGCACGCCCGCGACGTAGTCATCATGTGCCTGAACACGACACGCCAGTTCCTCTTCTACACATGGCCCGCCCTGGTCGCCAACCTGACCCTCAACAGCAGCGACGTGGAAGCAAGCCGGAAGCTGTTCGACGACATACTCGAAGGCGTCGTCGACCACATGAACCGCGTACACTGGCTGGAGCTGCCCTCGCGGCTCGAAGCCACCAGGAAGGTCAGGTTTTACCAACGCTCGAAAACTCGCCCGGCATCGTGCGATAGTGGTATCGAATAAACAACGCCCACTTCACATAGAAATCGATACCACTCATGTGGTAATAGGCCAGACCGGGCGCCGTTTTAGTGAAAGGCTAAAAGAGCACCGTTACAAAGGGAACAAAGCTATACAGGACCACACTGGAATTCACTTCCGTGATTGTGGATGTTCTCTGTTGTGTGATCAATGTAAAGTGGTGAAAAAATGTGGCTGATTCCTCTTTCTAGGAATCGGTAAGACGTGAAAGTGAAGCATGTCGTTACAGATGCAGTTGAGGGTTTATTGTGCATTATTTAGCCAGAAGGCCGAAGGAATCGATGCTATAGCAACAAATTGAAAAATCGGAAAGCAACAACTCAAACCTTGCAGTGCGCACCTCAAGCAGAAAGCACGCACGATATGAGCATACAGAGCGCGGACAAAGAACTATCACAGCTCGACACTTTAAGCGCGCTGTTTAAACAGAAAGAAACGTGTGTACGAAACTAACGCAAGAGTATACACAGCACAAGCGTGAACAGCTCTCACAATTCTTACTTCTTCGTGTGCTAGCCGCGTGCTCCTTTCGTAAGTGCGGCCGCGGCAGCGAGCTGAGTGACCTTCATGCTGTGTCGAATCACGAATGTGATAAGCGCGCGCAGGAGAGACCACGCTCCGTGGAGGCGGCGCTCTTCAAAACGGGAAAGGTCACGACCTTTAGAGCGGGCCAGAGGGCGCTCTCAAGCAATCTTGCTACTTATGAAGAAAACGCACTTAAGCTGCGGAGCTCCGAGAACCATGAAATGATATGCGGTGTATATAAATGGCTTGCCATTTATATACACCTGCATATGCATTGTGGCGTAGTGGTTAGCTGTGCACGCTGGTGTCCCTCTTTCGACGCGCCGCGACAGAGCATATGCATATCATTTTTATTTCTTTGCAATCTGTTAGTATGCATTTTACGTCATACCTGTGACAGATACTCAGCGGAGTCATGGTGGACCTGTCAGAACTTAAGAAATTAATGAAGCGCATCGCATAGCACAAACTGCCAATCACATCTATCAGCGCCCCCCAATGATTTTATCTGAAAATGAAGTCTGCTTCCGTAGTCAGGCAAACCATCTATTAATATTCAGCCTGTGACATGGCGATGTGGCGATGGTGTTCTCTAATCTTGGCGATATGGTCGGGTGGCTTTCCATGCTTGCGGATGTCTACATATGTGATGCTAATTTGCCAATAAAACTCTGTTGGTAGTTAGCTATTCGTTCTTTTGTGTCGGTCTGCCCGGCCATTTATTCTTTACCGTAATGCGCCGTATAAGTTGAAGCACGATGAACCAACTGACTAATTTTAGGCCCTTGTGCATTCCCTTTGCACTTCCCGGACCTGCATGGAGACACCTGTTCCACTTCACGAAATTGTAGCGGCGATGTGAGTGACAATACGCGAACGAAATAGAACTTGTTTCACTTCCTTCTTGTTTTTGTAACGATTTCAGGCAGTGGATACCTCACATTATGCTTCACTGTTTCCTCGGCGTGACGTCATTCCAGACCAGACAGAGGAAATGTAAACACATAGGCGTGGTGCAGGCATTTCAGACACTTCCCACTAGAGCACAGGTGTGCGAAAACTCTTAACAGCTTTGAAAGCGGAGACGACGAGAATACAACGCGACACAAGCTCTCACCTAAAATCAAAGTGTAATGAGGTAAAACGAAATAAGAAACGCTTGTGTCGTGTTGTTGGCCTTTCGTCTCCATGCGCGCACTCCGGCAACAATGCGAATGCACCCCAACTCGCCCAACTTCCTTTGTTGTGTACACACGCAATGGCAGCCGGCAGGTGAACTACTCCAAGCTGAGCAGGCCACCCGCAGACTTCGTCAACACCTACATCGAGGCGGCCCAGCTGGACACGCTGCTGCGCCGGGAGGTGGGAAACGAAGAGTACGGCTTGTACGGAAAGTGAGTCACTCATCATCCCTGTCGTTGTTTTCATGCCAACATCCCGTGCAGTTCCCAGCGGCTGTGCCCGTTCTTCGCAAAAGGTATTAGCCTTATGCTACATGAAGTGTATTTATTAAGATAGAGATTTGAGGCATTATATTGTCCGAATATTCCCCTCACGAACGTGAGCGAGAACAGCGCATAACAACAAGCCACAGGGGGCGCCTACGAAAGTGGCTGGTGGACGCCGAAAATTGTGGACAACCAAGGAACAACTTCCTAATACAAAGCACGCACCACTGGGAGATATTGTATACTGCAACTTCCATTTTGTGCGGAATTCGCTAAGAGGATCGAATACCCACATCCTACAGGTTCCCTAGGAATGCCTTCATAGGGACCAACGGAATTGAGGGTTTGTTCCTTCGTTGGATGCAACCTAGAGAAGCCAAGAGACAACATGTCTGTCTGCTTCCATACTCGATGGAGACACCAGTGTCAGACGCAGTATCTGAACACACCGTCTCATTATACTTCCTATTTTCGCCATCACTACGATATAGTTGCCTAATGCGAGACAGGTAAATTACAGGTCAGAGACGTTATTCAAGGAGAACTTTTTTGTGCAGTGGTTCAAGGTAGGCTATTGGTGAATAAACGGTGGAACGTAGTTAGTTATATGATTAGATAAATATTTGCTAATTAGCTAGTCACAAGTTAGTTAGTTTTCAATCTTGACACTTATTAATCTAACTTCGAGCATATTTTTTATTGCTGACTAATGGCTGGCGAACGGTAGTGCATAGCGATAAGCGTCCACACAGAGCCGCTGCTCGACAGGCTGCAGCTAGAAGGTGACGTGGCGTACATGAAGCTGTGGAGCCTTCGAAGCGGTGCCGAGCTGTTCCTGCCAACGCTGCTGTCGAAGCCGCCGCTCTTCTATCCGGAGGCCGGCGAGCCCTTCAACTACGGCACCCTGGGCGTTCTCGTGGCCATGGCCCTGAGCAGCGCCGTCGGCCACATGGGGGCGCGTCTGTCGGCGTCGGGTATCGAGGACCTCTGGTGGACAGACCAGACGCTGCTCAACTACCACGAGGCGACTCGCTGCTACGAGGAGCAGTACCGGCGGCTCAGCAACTCCACGGCCTCCTTCCCAGAAGAGCAGAGGGACCAGGTGTTCCTCTGGACCAGAGCGGCGCGCATCGCGTTCGACAGGTACAACCCCGAATTCCATTCACGAGCCCTTCACAAGGTCACCCAACCAATTTTCAGAAAAAATAGGAGTGCAGGGTGCATAGGCGAATCTGAAAGGTGGGTGCAAAAGCATACTTCAGCGCGTCGGCAGCCGTAGTTTCTCACTAATACCTATATAGAGGGAAGTGTGGCGCCACCATCTATGCGAATTTCTTAAGGGGCGATGTTGGAGCGCAGGGAATGACGGCATATGTATCTGCGAGGCTCCTGTTGATTAGTGTTGATAAAGGCTTCGGCTCAAAGTGAATACGACTGCGTAAATAAAGCTTCTCTAAAACAAAACGTTTAGAAGCAGATTTCATCCAAGCGTAATATATTCTAAAACTATATTCCACTCCCCTTTGGCGGCACAACCAAACGGAGAAGGAAAGAAACCGACGACATAAACGTGGCGGATAAAACGCTCGCTTTGTCGTCTGCCTGTCAAGTTTAGCGCTTGTTGGTTACTTCTTACACTTCGTAAAATTGTACATCAACGTAGACGGTTGTAGTGTTAAATACAGCACGTTTCTGTGCAACGACAAAAATTAATAGCTTTTGACGTGCTCTTTTAGTAAGAAATCAATAAATTTAACGCGATGCCAGACGCGTTTTAGAGGTATAAAAATCCGAGTCAAGTTCGAAGCTCACGTATCCCGTCATTCCCTTGCATCCAGCAGCTCACTAGTGCCAGATTTCCCTTTATGTATGATTGTGAGAAACTATGCCGCCAACTATCATTTCGTAATGGCTAGTGTGACGTCATGCGCTGAAAGAAGCGGAGCCGTGGTTTCCTACCTACCGAGGTTTCGCCGCTGCGAATAGCACAACTTCAAGCCAAGCTGAAGACAGCTATACTACCTCGATTTGACGCGCAGACAACCGCGGTACAACATCGTTCGCCGTAATGCAGACACTCACACAGCCCGCCGATTGTTACGTCGTGGAAGTGCACCAGTGTTGCCCGGTGGCATTTTTACAGAAATATTTAAGTGCTCGATTAAATGAGCTTCCTCAGCTTACTTGCGAATGGACAAGGATGAACCCATACAACCAATTTCGTGATCGATTATTGGGTGACATGGCCCCATGAGAGACGCCGAGGTGGAGGGCCCCAGAAATTTCGACCACGTCGTGCACTGAAATCGAACAGAACACGAACCATTTCACCTCCTCCGAAATGAGCCGGCGTTCTTGAACGTCCAAGGCATACGTATAACAAAAACAGGTTGCGCGTTACAAGATAGAAACGCCAGCGGTAGTGCAACCACTCTTGACCGCCTAAAGCACTAAGAAGTTGACAATTGATCCGGCAAACAGTGAAAATGGTCACATAAGCTGCTGGTATGCTTTCTTAGCAGAAATCTAGAGCATCAGTTTAAACTTAATAGTCACGCGAGCACGACATTTCGACACATTGATGCAGTCGATGGCGCTCACTCAACCCCATGTCCGTCTCGTCTGCCGTATCGCGTACGTGCTATTCGAAGCCAGACAGGCTGCGCAGGTGCTGAACAGTTGTCGGTGCAGCCGCCCATCGTGTCGATACAAAGTCCGCAAGCCGAGTCATTGGGATTCGCGTCGGAGCCTCTGATTACTCGAGCTCTCAGGTGGCAGTCACTGTGAATTCGTGAACAATATTCCGCGCCAATTTCCTAGTCACCGTAGCAGTTGCACTGTTAAGTGACAGGCGGCTTTGCTCGATGTTGGCGGAAAGCAACGTACGGTTAGCTAAAGCTCATTCCGTTATGGTTGAACTGCGCTAATACGAACAAGGGCACAGTGAAAGATAGCGCCTGCACAGACTCACAACTAAAATGTTACGAAGTGAAATAGACATACACAGCAAGCACAAAAAGACACTCACTGGTTACGTAAGCGCTTCAGCTACCCAACCAATATTGCACTTCAGCAAGCATCGCCGACACGTGCTTTCTTCGCAGAATTATCGCGTAATGCGGTCCGTACGACGACGCTAAGCCCTTGCTCGTACAAGAAGCGAGTGGCACACCCTCTTCTAACAGTGCCTCCACCGCTCTGCCACGTGATAACCTTCAGAGGAATAGTTATTGGAACATTCTTATAACTGGATAGGTCACGCATCAAGGTCAACTCGAAACTTGTTGCTCTTTAGCAAAAGCTGTCTCATGTTAATCGTAATCGCAAGCCTTACTTCCTCTCGACCGACACTTGCAGATTACGTACGAGGTGCGCCCTACAACGTGACACGAATTTCTTGGCAGTAAAGTGCCGCGTTTTCAATAAACGATACTAAATCACGCCAGCACTCTGAAAAAAGAGCGAGTAAAAAGGGTGCCTTTTTGTCCCACAACAATAATCGTCATCTATTTTGCGTTCCATCCTTGCGATATCGCCCCGCGCCCGGTACATTCCGGTCACGATCGACATGCCCATTGTCAGGGTTACATTGCATTCTCGATAGGAAAGTGGCCAGCGCCGAGTTTTCAAGAAAGGAAGCGCACGCAAGACTGGTGATTATTGTTGTGGGACAAAAAGACACCCTTTTTACTCGATATCTTTTTAGATTGAGGTCCTGCAACAAAAACACTTCCAAAAAGGGCACCAGTTTCAATTATTGAGGTAAGAGCCCTGAAGCATGCCCACCGGATGCCCCACATGACGCGGCACACATGAGCACTGACTGTCAACTAACTGCCTTATTGCCGGTTCAGTTGTCAATTCACGCCGTATGCACACGCACCTTGGGCCTATACAGATTCTTCGTTGGGCGTATTCGCCTAAGACAACACGAAATCGTCTGAACACGAGTTCTTGTCTTCGCGCATTTAACAGTACAGCGATTTGATAGCTGTTTCACTTTCGTTTAGAGCTATTGTTGTGTGTGCTTATTCGGTAAGCCTGCCTTGCCCGAACTGATAACCGAAGAAACAAAGCGCTTGATAGCTGGCCATCGTGTTTTCCTACCTTGCGTGCATGGGCTGTCATTTTTACCGCACGTACCAACAAGGCCCAAGTAAAGTTTGTTCAGTATATTAATTCGGGCGTTGTTCCCACGCGCAGGTACCGGCTCAAGTACAAGGCGAGGATCGCGCGCGGTCGCGAGCGACTGCAGCACGACCGCGTGTTCTTCATGCGCCTCTGCCTGCTGACGTGCGCCAGCCGCGAGGAAGTGGGCCACCTGTGGCCCCGCTTCCGGTGCCACATGCCGCTGCTCAACATGCGGGAGTTCTCGGAGGCCTTCTCGTGTCGCACGATCGACCTGCTGGCACCCGAGAAGAAGTGCCCGTCACTGTGACGTCTCATTCGTAGTTTCCATTTATTGCGCCTTTTATGTATCCAACGAGTATACAGCTTTTATTGACGTCTACCGATTTTTGTGACGCTCACTGCTGAAGCGGCTGCGTTCCCGTTGATCTCCACCAATTCTCGCACAGAATGCATTGCGTCTGCCATTATATGCAAGCGTAAGAACGTTCGTGTCGGCATTTTTTGCTTTTTTTTCTAGCTCTTCGTCGTTATATTCATTCACCACTGGTAGTGGTGTTTCTCCTTGTGAGCTGTGTGCAGTATGCCATTATCACTGCCCTGCACTCTATAGCGCGATTAGATTATAGGTCTACATTTCTGACCTTTTTCAACGTCGACGACGTGTATAAACTCTACGGTGTTAACATTCACGGGCTACACAAACTGAGCGTTATGTACGCACCTATATTGTAGTATTCAGTTGTTCTGCCCACATCAGTCAGATGCACTTAGTGGATGAAATGAAATTTGTAACCAGTTGCTTGTCGATGAAATGTGGAATCACATATTCGGCACACTCAAATTTTCAACTCTGATGATAACGAAGATTTTAACGGTCCTGTATTTGTTTAATAAAATGACCACAAAAATCCTCGCTTATCATTTTACGGAGTGAGATGCATTCATCGAAACTACGTATGCAGCATGCAACACAGCATTCGTTTCAGCAAAAAGCCAGCACGAAGACGATTATAATGAAAAGTGGTCAATATTGCTGCGTAAACTGCCCCTGTGACGGCGGCGAGCGACATGGTGAATGTGGCGTCTCGTACAAAAAGAAACAAATAGATTCATTTGTCGGGCTTTTGTCTTCCTTATCTACGGTGTTTATGAGGGGCGCTATGGTGGGGGCTCGGCAGAAATTTCGGCCATCGAGGATGACACCTCAAAAAGGCTTCGCTATTTAGTTAACGTTTCGGTCAGAGCCTGACCTTGATGTCGAAACGAAATGTCGTCTTGGTGATGATTGGAGTTTTACTGAACCGAAACACACACATACATATATGTGTGCACGCAAAATTCTTTACAACCAACTAACGAGTAAAATTATCTATAGCCACAAGATTGCACTTAAAAAATGTGTAAGCACTCCTGTTGTAGTATCTGAAAATTAAATTGGGTATTCTCTGCTGGCAAACCCTGCTAACCACTGTTACCATGTGCTCATAGCTTCTTGCATCGGTGTCGATTTGATATCTGCTCTTTACTTTGACTTTTCTGTGATTATACTGACGAGGCCTCGCACGTAGGTAGACACCGTAACGTTGTTAACCGCAATTAAGTGCAGTTCTCAATGAAATGTTCACCGATCAGACAGATGAAGCAAGTGCTTTGTGCTATCATTACTTGCGATGTATCATGTTTGACTTTACATCGTTGTGCGTTATGAACAGAAATATCGCAGCATCACGATGTTAAACGCCAAATATCGGTGGTGTGGAAATTCAAATGCTTTGTAATGCATAGCTATGAATACGCCGCAGGGAACGTAACGCAAACCAAGCGTCTCGGTCAGCTGTTTTTATTCAAGCGAGTTCCAATGAAAAGGTCAACAGGAAGACCCACCCTTTTTTATTCATGATACATCCGTTACCATTTCGCTAAACTTGGTCGTTTTAAACTCAGTAACCAGAACACTGTCTCTCCCGTCATTCCTTGCCTTACTGACTATACGTGCCGACGGTACGAGCTCACAATTGACTACTTGAAAAGAAGTAAAATCAAATTGTCGGCTGAGCCCCACATTTGGTTAACGAAAGGCAGACAGAAAGAAAAAAATTACGCCATGTCCACGAAGTGAATGATGATGAGTGGGCGAAGCTCCGGAGGTAAACCTGGTAAACCATGAATCCTCTGTACATTTTGCCCACTCGATTTTATTTCATCGCTCCCCCTAGCGTACGTCGCCGCACTAAATCGAACGATTGCCTTCAACCAATGACACGCGCCATATGTGACATCATTCCTATTTTATAAGATCTCGCGTCTTTCATCAACTACAAGTACCGCTTTCTAGTTTATAACATCTTGCATCTTTTCATCATCAGCTACAAGTACCACCATCTAGTAAACACTACAAGAACTAAACGAGAGGTGGCTACATACAGGAGACGGTACCGCCATCTAGTGAACACTGCAAGAACTAAACTAGAGGTGGCTACATACAGGGGACGGTACCGCCATCTAGTGAACACTGCAAGAACTAAACTAGAGGTGGCTACATACAGGCTACAGGGGACGCACAGCCCACGCCCTAAGGAGCTTCGCCCCTAAAATAAAATTCCTGTGCAGATTCGTGGCTAAGATACCGCAGTCGCGCTAACAACGCTGTTACTGGAAATCGCCGCGGGGCGAAAACCGATGATTGCTGCAAGCAGCCACTTCTGAGGAACGGGCACACGTGAGTTGACGGGCGGCGCATCCAGGCGCAATGCCCGAGGCCAGACGCGAGGGATCGCGTGGTCCACCAGAAAGGCGAGATGAATGCAACATTATACTGTGCAGCGCGTTGTAACCGCAATTTCTTTCTTTACAATCACCAGCCTCTGAAAATACAAAGAGCGAGCGCATTATTCCCTCCTCCTTGGTGACGCGTGAACAGTGACGTCTGTAGTGTACACACTCTCGATTGGTCCATGTACGCGGAATGTTAATTATCTCCTGCCCTGCTTCGCCGTGCAGCGGCCCATCCGTTCTTCTCGCTTCGTGCGCAATCAACTGACATCGTCATTTTACCGTAAGGTAAAGTAGCCCACTTTTGTACAACAGGGACACTCGAGTGTCGTGTGATCAGCTCCCATGATTCGCAAGCGGAGATAACAGCGTGTAGCCAATAAGCGCTTGGTAGGCTGAACGCTGACATTGTACACGTATGATCAACATTGCACAAGTGCTTAAAAAAAAACAAGAGGCGATTTCACCCTTATGAAGGGTTAGCGATGATGAGGAGGAAACCACTCCCTCGTCTTTAAACGGGTGATGGTTGCTAAGGTGGTACCTCAGCAGCTTGGCGAAATGCACTCCGGGGGATAGGCCACAAATCACATGGTGCCTCGCTTATTAAGCTAATTCACTTCTTGAGCGACAGGGTAAAATTCATGAGGCATTGCAATAATTTACCTTGTAGAGTTTAAAAAAAACTAAAAATACCATAAAACAAAGAAAAGAAACAACCATCCGTACGTAACGCTGAATGTAGCAACATTTACCATTCCATTTGTAACAGCGTTGAAAACGCTCCTGTGGCTAAAGCTAAATGACATTGCGTCAAATGAAAGAATCACCGGATGTTATGACTTTACTAACTTATAACTTTAGTAACTTTTATAACTGGTAAGTTATAAGCCCGTAAAAAAAAGAGTGTTCCAAAGATTCACTCTCATTACAATGAAGGCATAAAGGCGACTGTACCAGAACTGATCTGTGAGGGCAAAAGTTCAGTGTAGGGACTCGACAACGCCGCCTTGTAATTACCATTTCCTCCTTTCTATATGAACACCACCTGCTCTTCCAAGGAAACTTTAGCTGTGGAAAATCATGTGGAAAGTCATTGGCCATTGTACGCTTTTTCAAAACGTGTTGCCATGATACACTCCGAGCGGCGGAGGGAAGAGGTACGCGCCACTTTGCTACCTGAAGGTACCGTGTACACTATCTCCGATCGCGCTTTCGCATGCCGGCCGAAATGACTCGCCAGTGCGGACTACTGTCGCGCGAGTAGAGGACGTTCTGTGCCTTTCGGCGATGCGGCACGCATGTCTTGCAAGTAACAAACACGATTCGGCTAAGACATTTCCAATTCCATGCGTTCGAACTCATGATATACATCTAGCTACACAAAACAGCAGTGATTTGTCACGACATACAAGAAAAAGAAAGCAGTCAGAGGGCCTTGTTTGCGTGACACTGAAGCAATGCGTTATAAGCTGGTGTCCAACATGTGCGCTGCCGTCTATAGGAAGAATGGCAGACGCTGCCGCGTTTTTCCGTGGCCGATAGCCTCTACGAAACGTTGCCACGGTAGTAGTATTGGCTGCCCGGGGCGTGACAACAAAATTCTAATACATTGTTTTCATGTTACACAAACAAGCCTGTGACAGCTCCGTTTTTTTTTTCAACAGAAACCACGTAACAAACTCGCTATGCGTGTGTGCATATGTTGTTTTTGTCACGACTGCGAACGCATAAAAAGCGCAATGTCCTATCCCAGCCGAATCATTTCTTACTTACAGAGCCTACGTGCCGCATCGCCGAAAGGTGCAGAACGAGAATGTCGTCTACTCACGCCGCAATAAAAGTAGTGTTCACCGGCGAGCCATTTCAGTCGGCTTGAGAAGGCATGCTAGCCTAGTAGCTATCGCTGGCAGTGTGCACGTGGTAAACTACAGGCCGGCTCGTTGGCGACCGGAAGCTCCTCAAATGTTCTCAACGCAATACCTTGAGCAACCACGAGCTGTGCAACCTGTGCCGGCGGCCACGCGCTCCAAATGTGCTCTTTCGATCCGTGAGTGCTGCACTCGTGCAAAATCAATACGTGCTCAAACAATGGCTCCAAATTGTTGTGCTTACCTGTTCCCTTTAGGAAACACTGAAAAACCTTCGCGGAACCGAATATCTCCCGGTTAGCACACCGTGGAAAACGTGCGTTGCCCGATTAAGCCATCTTCGACGAATACATGGTTGACTTGCTCGGCGTAGCTCAGTGCGGCTTCCATTCTCTGCGCTTGCCGTCTATCTTTCCCGTAGTGTGCACGCCAAACGAGCGAGATAACTGAGCGCGATCCAACTTCTGATATCACTGAACGAGGGGCGAGAAGGAGCGGAGGCAAGCGCTACGAACGCAAGTAAATCACTTGCCACGCTTCGCCTGATTTATAAAACTACAAAAAAAGGAATAAAAATACATTGAAAATTCTTTACAGAGGTATCAATATATTTTTTTTTACTTGTAAAACCCATGTGAAAGCCAATAAATGCGAACATTCACACCAACTTCACTCCGTTCAATCGGATCTTGGAATTCCAGGGGCAACCACTACGAGCGTGCATGTTCCTCGAAACCTAAAACTAGTGATGCGTTTCGGGGAGTGATGCAGCGTCAAAGAAGAGACCATCGCGAACGATACGGGTTTCCAGAATGATGACATCGCTGGCCGAATCTAATCGCGCAGCCTAGCTTGCATCGGGAACGACCACTCATTGCATATTCCTTTTTTTTCTGTTGTTTCGTTTATTTTTCTGCGACGTTGCACGACAGACAGGGACTAAAGAAAATGCAAGGAAGGCGTGTCATTGAGCGACGCACATGCTGAGACGCAGCCAATCTTAAACCACGCGCTACATCTAGATGTCACCAATGCAGTCCAGAACCTTACGCTCCCTCGCTCTATCGTGTTGGCATCTGCACAGCGGGGACCTGTTAACTCTGCACATTAAGCTGTGTTGACCGTAAGTGCTGAATCTAAGCGTGGCCTAGTTCCACAAAGCGCCACTGCATCCGGCGCGACCATGAATGCAACAGCATTTAAATGCTTATACTTAAATTAATGAAGAAAAAAGAAAAAAAAAACACGGTTCTGACAGTTTCGTCGGGCGCTTTCGTTCTCGTTTTCTTTTGCGCGGTAGCACTCTCATGGCACGAAAACAAAGTCATTGCTTCGTCCCGGGGTGCACTTCAGAAGTGTGGCAACTTGGGCTATAGTTGGTATGACATGACGATAGTTATAGCACGAGAACCGAACGACGACACAGAGACAAGAAGGACACGAGCGTACGAGTTCGTGTCCTTGTCTCTGTGTCGTCGTTCGGTTCTCGAGCTATAACTATCGTCATGCACTTCAGGCTACAAGTCAGCTGAAAAGAAGCATGCGTTGTTAGGCGTTCCAAATGGCGAAGCTCTGTTAGCGGAGAGCGATCCCACGCGCTGACAAACTGCTTCAAGAAAACTCGGCTGTGTGCGAGCTGCACTTCGACGAAAGGTTCATTTCCCGGCACTCCGAGCACACTGTGAATGGCGAAATTGTCTGCATTGAAAGGGGTAAACCCATATAGGCGTGCGCACGATTCCCATTCAGGTGGGGATGGGGGGGGGAGGCGAAGGCTCATTGCAGCGCACCCCCCCCCCCTCTATATTAAATTAGTGTGTGAGGCAGATTTTGCGCCCCCCCCCCCTTTTAGGTGACTAAAAGAGTGTCCCACCTCCTACTCAATGTATAGAGCAGATTTAGCGACCCCCTGCCAGGTGACTACACCTATGGGTAGGCTTTTCGAAGAAGCTCTTCGCATTTGTAGACGCCCTTGAAATCTCGTTTTCAAAGTGGTTTAGCTACAACGTACGAACTTCACCGTGACAGCTTGGAGAGCTTGTTTCCTGCTTGCAAAAAAAAAAAATGCAACACTGCATCGCCTGCGCATAACATGGCCCGAGCCTCACCAATTAAGTGACCAAGTTTTCTCGACATCGAACAAAATTTATCCCGAAATACAGTCAACTACATGTATCTTCTTCGACAATATAGCAGACTTGGAAAATATACTCTGGCGCTGTGGGGAATGTGTGGCAGCTTGGGCTAGTTGGTATGGCATGACGATAGTTATAGCGCGAGAACAAAACGACGACACAGAGACAAGAAGGACACGAAAGACACGAGCGCTCGTGTCTTTCGTGTCCTTCTTGTCTCTGTGTCGTCGTTTTGTTCTCGCACTATAACTATCGGCTGTGGGGAAGTCATCACGCCCTCCAAATGGGAGAGTGCTATTACAAGCTTCGGACTCGAACCAATCCACCAGGCCCGCGACGCAGCGCAGAGCCATTGGTCTTTCGGTCCCGACGTGGGAACGGCCCGCAACGTGCTAAAACGCGTTCCGAAGGACCAAAGAAAGTTCATCCATCCAACCCACCTGCAATTTTACACAAAGGCGCTCCACAAGGAGCGAGCATCTTCCCGTAAAAAGAGGAATTGCACCTGAAGCTCAGGCGCGTCACGTAGGCTTGCAGCCCAAAGGAAACAAAGCTCTGTGGTGCGCTTGTGAACAATAGAATTTTTTTCTTGGGGATAAAAAAAAAGATGTGCGACCAACTATTAAGAATGCATTGTTGTAAACAGATAGTGAGTCACTACTCGGAAATGGGTTGTATGACCAGTGTGCAGAAAATAAAATGTTTTCATTCAGATACTGCTCCTGATTTTCGTCTCTATGAGTTTGATAATACGTAAGCAGAAGTAGCTATAGCGAGCCATGCATGTTACGAATGATGGGGCTTTATTTACAGATTAGTGCTTCAGGAAGTGATGATTAGCCTTGGAAGATGTTGCAAGCAATGGCTCACAACTGGGTTCATCGTTCCACTTTTCTACCACTTCACATCTATAAAATGTTTCAGTGCCATCACACGCTCACTATCCGCAACCTGTTGATATTTCAGTTCAGTCGCGCACCTGCGTAGGCATCCTTTAATTCCAGAAGCTAATTACCATATTTGCTCAGTCGCCATTAGAGGCCGTGCACGAGCAACTTAAATGTTTCACACAACCCACGCGCCTGGTTTATTCCTGTCTCTGCGCAGCGCATCGCCGCCTTGGGTGACATGACTGAATGGATGGATTGATATGGCTGTACTCTTTAAATCGGGCGGCGGCTAACGCCACCTCGCCGTGATGCTTAGTGAGCCAAAAGCTAGATTTTTCTTTTTTTTTTCATTTAAATAGTGAAGTTGAGGACTGCTACTTTGCAGTGAAGGGTTTAATTTTCAATCGTGCCTTGACTTAAGCCACCTATCAGATAACCTCCTTCTAGTTAATTCTACCCGCTTAAAGTCTGTTTTGCCCTCCCTGTCCCCAAGCCCCAGTGCTTTGAAAAACTGTGCGCCATCATCCTGAACAATAGGGTGAAGCCCTTTACAGAACATTATCAAGTGTTCGGCAGTTTCTTCTTCCTCTCCACACACACTGCATTCTGTGCCTACCCCTCCGTATTTGGCCCGATATGTCTTGGTTCGCAATCCTCTTGTCCTGGCCTCAAACAGTAGAGAACTACCCCGAGTATTATCATAGATCCTTTCCTTGGCAATCTCCTGCTTAAAAGTTCGATAGATCTCTAGTGCGGACTTCTTAATCATGCCAATTCTCCACATGTCAGTCTCTGTTTCCTTCACTTTCTTCTTAACCGATAGTTCTTTTTGGTTTGGCCACCTGCTGTTTTTCTAAGAATTTACCAGTCAATTTCCTAGTTCGCTTCCTCCATTTTGTATCGTCATTCTTTATGTACAAGTAGCTGGAAACCTTCCTAGCCCAACACTGCTCCCCCATTTCTCTCAATCGCTTCTCACATTTTATCTTGCTGCTAGCTCCCCTGCCCTCGAATGATGTCCATCCCATATCACCTTGTACTCCCCGATTTGGTGTATTCCCGTGAGCTCCTAAAGCAAGCCTACCTTTTCCACGTTGCTTAATTTCTAATCTTGCTTGAACTTCTGATCTCATGCACAAGACTGCATTGCCGGACGTCAGACCTGCGGGCGGAGGCGCCGCCTTAAGATTCCCGCACCAAACACTGTGACCACATTCATCATCACCATCATCATCATCACCAGCCTGACTACGTCCACTGCCTCTCCCATGTTCCGCCAGCTAACCCGGTCCTGTGCTTGCTGCTGCCAATTTATACCCGCGAACTTCTTAATCTCATCTGCCCACCTAACCTTCTCTCTCTCTCCCTAATCCACTTTCCTTCTCTGGGAATCGAGTCAGTTACCCTTAACGACCAGCGGTTATCCTGTCTACGCAGTACATGCCCGGCCCATGTCCATTTCTTCTTCTTGATTTCAGCTATGATATCCTTAACCCCCGTTCGTTCCCTAATCCACTCTTCTCTCTTCTTGTCTCTTGAAGTTACACCTACCATTTCCCTTTCCGTTGCTAGCTACGTCGTCCTCAATTTAAGCTAAACCCTCTTTGCAAATCTCCAGGTTTCTGCTTTGTAGCTAAGTAACGGCAAGATACAGCTGTTATAAACCTTCCTCTTGAGGGATAGTGGCAATCTACCTGTCATAATTTGAGAGTGCTTGCCAAATGTGCTGCACCCCATTCTTATTCTTCTAGTTACTTCAATCTCGTGGTTCGGCTCCGCGGTTATTACCTGCCCTAAGTAGGCATAGTCTTTTACAACTTCAAGCGCACTATTACCTATTTCGAAGCGCTGCTCTATTCCGAGGTTGTTGTACATTACTTTCATTTTCTGCAGATTAATTTTAAGACCCACCTTTCTGCTCTCCTTGTCTAACTCCGTAATCATGAGTTGCAATTCGTCTCCCGAGTTACTCAGCAATGCAATGTCATAGCGCCTACGTACTCTAGTAAATGCATATGTCATCACAGCGATAAAAGATATTTAAAAAACACTGATTAGCTGCGACTGTTGCCCCGAGGGAGCCAGCACCCCTCGTTATCCCGTCCCTCCCGTCACCGCCCCGTCGCGCTGCAGCGGCCGCAACTGACCCTACGGCTGACACACGCTCTCCCATAGAAAGCCGTTCAATGCGGAAGGCCGTACCGTGCGCTCCTTCATCCAGCGGCCGTGGTGCAGATGCCACCAGCTCACCAGCTCCACTGTCAAGTCAGTGAAGCAGCTGATAAGGTTATGAGGTAGTGCCTTTGTTTGAAGGTGAAATTCGACATCATTTATTACGGCCGGACCCGAATTCGCGACGACGACGCTTCCACTCTTTGTCGTGCCATCCCGAGATGGCTTTGACGTAAGGAAATGCGTCGCCGCAGATCCCTCGGAAGTCATCCAGCGACACGTCCCAGATGCCAAGGCAGGCCGCGCGGTGCTTGTAGAGCGCCATACGCAGCAGGCGCTGCACGTTGCTGACGTCCAGGTAGCCGACCCACTGATCGTCGCGCGCCACGTACGAGGCGAAAGTGCCTTTCTCCGCGGTGGGCCACGTCTCGTTGCAGAACTCGTAGTAGGCCAGCACGCCGGGCTGCCGGGTGAACGGTCCGGGCTTGCCAGGCCCCAACGCGGCGGCGTGAATCTCGTGGCGACCCGGGTTGAGGAGCGTGTAGCTTCGGGCGCTGACTGACAAGACGAAGCAGAATTTGCGGAACAGCAGCAAGTTGCCCGCTCCGACAAGGGAGTGGCGCGTCTGCAGGACGTCGTTGAGAGGGTCCGGAAACGAGGTGAGCTTGGCCCCTCCGTCAGTGTCCCCGTCATCACGCAACACCCAGTTGCTGATTGCAAGGAACCGGTCCACGTAACGGGCCAGTTCGGCGACGTTGAAGTACGCCTGACGAATCTCCTCGTTGCTCGGCAGGGCCACGAACAACTCCGACCTGGCGTCCAAGGTTTCGCGAAGGACTCCAACGACGACCAGCAGCTTCTTCCTGAACAACGAAGCCCTGCCGCCAGTGTCGTCTTGCCGCTGCATCTTCCACTGGAGCACGGCGCCGTCGTACTCGTACTCGCGGAGCCACGACTCAACGTTCCGCGCAAATGCTACGACATCTGCCCTGTTCTTGGACATGTGACGGAAGGCGTTGGAGTCGCTTATGTCCTCGCCGATGGCCGCCATCACCCTCACGTGCCTGTAGCGGCTCTTGAGCCTCGCAAACTTGATAAAGCCACCTCGCTCGACGTCAAACAAGTGGTCTTTCGCCACGAGCCGGAAATCTTCCCCAACTCCCAAAGAGGCGTAAATTATGTGGCTGCAGTATGGCACAGGAATGTGTCCCGTGTGAAACGTCATAGGTTCGTCTCGCTTGTAACTCGTGTGATTGAAGTAGCAGACGACATTGTAAGAAGGACTGGTGTCAACGTCGAAGTTCAATGTTTCTTCTGTAGTCGTCGTGGATGACGTTTTGTGAGTGGCCTCCTCTGCGCGCAAGTTGGTTGTGACGTAGTCGCTAGTCGTAATCGGAACTGTACTACTTATGACCTCGGAAATGGAAGTCGTGCTTGCATATTCTGTCGTCCTATTAGTCGATGGAACCGTCCATTCTGAACTTGTATCGTACGCTCTTTGCCACGTCAAGGTTCTGTGTGTAGTAGTAGTGCAAGTCATAGGATATTCAACTTCTCCTTTGTCGGATAAGGGCGTGCTTTTACGTGTAGGAATAGTTCTGGCTCTGTGAGTTGGGTGCTTAGTGACCTCGAAATCTTCACTGAAATGGAACCGAAGTTTATCATTACCTTCACCTAGTACCATGAACTATTTGTTCTACAAGGGGGCGAGCTATCTACTCCTAGTTTCTTTTACTGAATGCGCATTCAAGCCAAATACACATAATAAAAACAAGAAACGATATTGTACCACTATGCACAGTGAGGCATTTGCCAAGAACACAGCGTTTCTTTTTCGAAACTTTGTTTGTGTGTACGTGTGTTGTTGTATCCACAGCAACCACCACTCAAAACAGAAACATGTGTTCCCACTTTTCATCAGTTATGTCACCTCTGTGTCGTGTGCGACATAGTTCCACAGGCCAGCCACCGCCATAAAGTGGATATGGCTCAATAAATTATTTTAGCTACACTATATTTTGCTGCTATTATCTATTCAAAGGTGTGTATTCTGCTGCATTCATTTTGTTACCTTAAAGAAGCAGTGACATCAAATTTCAGAATTGAGATGTGCCCTTCCTGCGATTGCTCGGTGTGCGTAGATCATCTTGGCCAAATTTGAATGGAATCCGTCGCGTAGAAGTTATTTTGTTTCGGCGGCAAACAGTTCCCGAGAGTTTAATGAAAATTTGAGTGTCCTGCGACATCGACACTAGTGCTACGTGTTCGGTGCGATATATTCCACAAATACCATCCTGAGTGACGATGCGCTAGTATAGCGATGACGTATACGATTCGAGTGTTCTTTTCGTGGCGCCGACTGGCACTGAAGCCTGAAAATGCACTCGCTTGTCTCGTCTGATCTTCGTCGCACCGCCTTGAATAATTTAGAAATTATCAAGATGCAAATCCCCTTTAAGAGAAAGGGGAAAGGAAAGAGCGTGACTAAATGTGCCCTTGTCCGTCAGCATGTCGGGGAATCGTTGCGAGTTGCAAGCAACGTTTTTAAATACTGACAGTTGAAAAAGCCTGCTCCCGAGGCGGTACCAACTGGTATCTGCTCCGAGGGAGGTGCTGGCGTAGCATTGAGATCGGGCCACCGCCTGCCACCCGCCGCTTCTTGCGGCAGTGTTTATTTTAAAGACCATAATCGTATTTCTTAATCGTATTTTAAAGACCATAATCGCGTTCATAGTTGGGCGACTGTCAATTAAAAAGCAATTATTGCGCATATCTGAGGCGCCACAACCACGATTCCATGTTTTCTACGTCTGCCTTTATACTAGAAGAGGCACACACAAGTAAGTCTAAGGAATGTAGCGTTTATACGTGCTGCGCTGCCAGTGCAACGCGATGCTCAAAAAGGCGTTTCCAATGCTTTTCTACGACATCACGGTGGTGGAACCTGCCCGTAGCTTTGCATTCTACACCTTATCACCTCCAAGACTGGCGCGCATATCTCTCCGCGGGCTGCACGCCTTCGTTTTCGAAGATAACTGCCAGATGGCACTTGTGTCTAACGTGCCTAGATGCGCTCGTTCGCCTCAACCACACGCTCGAGGCACTCAACGCAGCGCCTGCAGAATTCCATTCACCGATTTTCTTGCGTAGAACATGAAATAAACGTTTTGTTCACTCTCTCCAGGCGAAAGACTATTGTCTTTCGACGACATTTACAATGTAACATGTAGATTCGGGCCATCTTTTTTTTTTCGGCATCCTCAAACTATAGTGGCGGGAGCTTGTAGGTTAGATTTCGGTCATTGCAAAGTGTATTTCACTTTCACATGCGACACGAGGATCAAGGAGGCTTGACTTAATTATTAGTTTACCATAGTAATCATGCCGACCTGCCGTGCGCCAGGCTAGACAAGTGGCTATGCCTCCGAGCAAAACACTTGCGATCGGTGGCACTTCTTCAGAGCCCTGAATGACCCTGCAGTAGTCAAGGCCTGAACAGCTTCTATTCCACGAAAAACCTTCCAGGCGACAGTCAAAACCTGCATTTGCGATCTACATTTCCAATCTGAGAACCTAATCACTTGCCACTATCACATCGTAGCCGAAAACGGCGAAATTCCACGTGGTAGGTGGAAACATGAGCTCAAAGCTTTTCGTCGAATTCGACCAAACATTCCTGCACACTTGTCTGAACTAGCGTCTTTAAGGTACAAAAGAAAACCCAAAAACTTAGCGAAACCGCGAATTTCGACTGTCATGTGACGGCAAGTGGTGGCGATGTGCCTGACGTTAACCTGGAAAACAGCGATGCTACTGGCGTCCCCTCCCATCTAGAGTTTTGTGCACGGGTGGCAACTTGGTTCTCTCCATTATAAGAGCAAACAAAGTTCAAAATCTGGAATGTCGAGCTTATCCTGGATGAAGGTTTCTTTTTTTTTTTGGGGGGGGGGGGGGGGGCAAAGCTTTTTATGCCATGGGTCGTGCGTCCGCGATGTTTGTTGTTGTTGTTGTTGTTGTTGTTGTTGTTGTTGTTGTTGTTGTTGTAGTAGTAGTAGTAGTAGTAGTAGTAGTAGTAGTAGTAGTAGTAGTAGTAGTAGTAGTAGTAGTAGCAGCAGTAGCAGTAGCAGTAGCAGTAGTAGTAGTAGTAGTAGTAGTAGTAGTAGTAGTAGTAGTAGTGGTAGTAGTAGTAGGTAGTAGTAGTAGTAGTAGTAGTAGTAGTAGTAGTAGTAGTAGTAGTAGTAGTAGTAGTAGTAGTTGTAGTAAGTAGCCACTTCCATGGCCGGACTAAAGCGGCACGCGTGCACCCTTTTCAATGGAGGAGGGAGGAAACCCGCGCACGTGAATCATAAATAAAAAGATAGTTGTTTATGACGTAATAACTCACAGAGATGAGGATTGATGACTTAATCTCCAAGAACATTTGCCTTGAAGTTGATGCTTACTAAAAAAATCTAGTATCAGAAGGATGTACTTTGAGCACTTCAGTCCTGAAAGGGTTGCCACGTTAGACTCGCTGGGCGTAACCTCTTTGGTTTAGCAAGGTTTAGCCAGGGTTGGGCCACATGCAGTGCCATGAATACAGTGAACTAGTAAGGTGGGAAGTAGACACGAAGTTCAAGGCCGTAGGAAAGTGCGCGAGTTCCACCTCTCATTTATTCCTTGGAATGCCCGCTGGATGGAGGTACTTCTATATCCTGAATATATGATGGAAAGATGCGAAATGGCGGTACTTGGAGCGTTCACTAGATGTACATACGTGTGGACAGACCAACAGACAGAGATGCATGGACGAACGCATGGATGGATGGACGCATGGACGGATGCAGGGATGCACGAACAGACGCATAGACAGACGGACGGAAGCAAGGACGGACGGACGGACGCTTCGCCCCACTCATCATAATTCACTCCGTGGATATGCTGCCATTTTTTTTTTTCAGACTCTCACTTTGTGCTATGCTGAAATCTTCAAAAGCGAAGTAAGCCAGAGGGTAGTGCTACGAAACCGAGTGGCTGATTACTTGCCTGGCCCTTAAAATATCGAGCCCTGCTGCTCGTAGGATGGTGTCAAAGAGGAACATCCTGCCTCTTCCGACATCTTCACGCCTTACAAAAATTACAAAAGAATGCCTCGCGAATTTGGGTTCAATATAGTTTTACTCAGCCGCATCAGTTGTTCTGCCGAAGGAAGGCTTTTCATGAGTTTATCCACTTGACTGGTAGACACTTTTCAAAGCTGTGTTTTTATTTTCCGAATGTCGTTTTTTGCTTTTTCTTGAAACACTGTGGTCCTAATAACCATCTTCCTTAGGTTTTTAGTACTCGAGAGTATAATGTTTGGTGAAGTTTAGTTGGTTTCGTAGATTATCTTTTTTCTTATACCATGCTCGCATACTCTTCCTTGTGCTTTTGCATGGTGGGGAAAAAGTCTTCCCGGGACAGCCCGACACTTTGTGCTCCTCTACACGTCCCGGATCTTCAGAGCTGGCGTTGCGGTCGAAATGAAAGTAAATAAGCTGCTATGACAGCCCATGCATATATTTAGGTGATTAACATAACTATGAAAAGCTGCTACCATCTGCTAGCTCTATCTTTGTTTCGAACAAATTTGAAAAAAAAAACAACTTCCTCGATAAGCTCAACATTCCAGGATTTGAACTTTATTTGGTCTTGCAGTGCAGGGAACCAAGATGCCACTTCTTGCAGGGGGCGCCAGTAGCTTCGTCACCATCGCTTTTGTTCATGCTAACAATGGACTCAACGCCACCACTTTCTAACACACGGCCCTTGCAATTCGCGGTTCCTTTAAATATCGGTGGTTTCCTTTCACGCTTTAATGCCACTATTTTAGACAAGTGTGCAGGAATATTAGGGCAAATTCGAGGAACAGCACCGAGCTTACGAGTCCACCTACCACGTGGAATTCTGACGACGTTTCTGCCTACGTTGTGCTCGCAAAAAGTTATTATATAGGACTTGGGACTCGAAATGTATATTGCGAATGTAGGTCCTGACTGTCACCTGGAAGGCTTTTTGTGAAATAACAGCTGTACAGGCCTTGAGAACTGCAGGGTCATTTGGGGCTATGAAGAAGTGCAGTCGATAGCAAGTGTTTTTCTCGGAGGCATAGCCACTTCGAGAGCCCAGCGCACTGCAGGTCGCCATATCTACTATGTTAAAGAGATAATTAGTCAAGCATGCTTGATCATCATGTCACATGTGAAA